ATGTGATGTACTAACATATGCTAACAATTAAATATCAAATTCAAATCGGTGTTAATAAACAATAACAACACACTTTAAACAATAATGAACCTTTAAATACCAAAACATAAATCCAATATTTCAGTGATCTAATGTAAGTGAAAAAAATTTGATATATGCACACACATATACACATGATAAAACCGCTTCTGTGTATTATACAGTATCATCTGACTGGAAAGCTATGTATATACAAAGTCTGTAGGTTAACCCAGTATCCCAAAGACAGAAAGTAGAACAACTTGCGTGTTGCTTTCACTATCAATAAATCAGTGTTCCAGTGAGACAGCCTCTCGTGTGTTAATCCCCACTTTGTTCCTATTAAAGGATATAATTAAACCTTCATTTTCCTTTGCATATATCTACTGATAGCAAGCTGTAGATATATGCAAAAACAATAAAGAAATAAGAAAAGTTACCAAATTGGTTAAAACTTACCTGTGTCTCCGCCGCTCGCTCCCGTCCGAAGTTCTGAAAATTCTCGGGGAGCTGTGAAGGAACATGGGACCAGCGCATGCGCAGTAGAGATCTTTGGTCAGGAGAAGAGGAGAGACGCAGTAAGTCAATGCATGCAGTGTGCATGTTGGACAGACCCCGTGGGACAGGAAGAGGCGGGAGTCAGCGCTGGATCAGAGACCGTCACCAGTGCTGGAGGGACTCCTGAAAACTACAGGATAGAAGATCGGATCAAGAGGCATCATGTAAGGTAAGTCCCTACACTAGCATGGGGGGGGGGGAGAGAAATAATGTGACTTTAATGTCGCTTTAAGTGCACCACCGTTGTGCTCACACCATTCACTGATCAGCTTCCAGTGACCGAAAATACAGCATCCGTCAAAAAGTGCAAAATGGGGTCAGCAATTCACAAACTCTTCAGTTCAGATCTTTCCTCTCTGTACAAGTATTAATTCCCTGTAGTGGTTAGTATTTTGCTAGACCGGATAATCACAGGTGGTTCCGTGTAGTATAATAATCACTTCCTCCAATTCAGATCTGATTAGCTCATAAGGAAAACACATTGCAGACGTCCATAGTGTAAAACCATCCCTAGCTTTATTAAAATACATAACATTTAATCACATTTAAAAGGCGCTACGCCACACCAAGCAAATACTCTCATCCATAAACAAACTCTCCACATTTCCCTAATTGCATGATGACCTCAGCATGTACACACCCTCTCTACGCATTTCATCACCTCTGAGTGATCTTTTTCCTACGGTGTTATACGATCTTTCTTTTCCTAGGATGAGATCTGCTTCTCTGTGGAGGGATTTTTTGTTTTCCTTACAATGTCTTGTGATCCTTGACTTGCCACATATGATGTGTTTCAGTTGGAACATTAAGAGAAGCAAGGTGAATTTAGCATGTACGTCCTCCCTGAAAAAGTCACGTGATGAAGCGCGTAAGAGGCGGTGTACATGCTGTGGCTGTGCTTCCTGTACGCATGCCAAGGATTCATTTTCAACTGGAATGAAGTATTGGGGGAAGATTTTACATACAGTACATCAAAGTCTGGTATTTTCAATGTTTTAGATACACATGCAAAATAAATTAGTTTGATGTAAATTATTTTGAGGGTTTTTTTGTGTATAATTTATAAATGTAAATATAAACGTGGCAGCTGTATTTGTAGATTACATAAATTGACTCTCGCAATGGTTGTGCATTACGGCTTCTTTCTGCCATGCAAGTCTGTGGGTCCGCTGGCTGATTGTGGGGACGTCGAGGGACATTCCACCAGCCGGAGCAGAGTGGGAGAGGAGGGGGAGCACTGACCACCGGGGGGTGGGAACCAGGTAAGTAAATCTGCTTTACTTCAGCCCCAAGACATAAATGAGCACTTAACCCTTGCAGTGCAGGGGTAGCCCAATTTCAAAGGTACTTCTTCTGTTTTCCCAGAGATGGGCTTAAGATGGGTCAGAGTGATCTCTATGCGCCATTCAATGCTCCCTTCGGTGGTTTATATGAAAATCTCTGTATTTAATATGAACGGGAAGGATGTTAAAACATTTGGAAGTCTAATGCGCTCTGCTCTAATAATTCAAATTATTTCTTCACCAAAATACACCATACATAGTTCCATAGTAACATTCTCGTAAGCTTTTAAGTGTTAAAAAGAAAAAAAAAGATGAAACCTCTTCATTTCTACTGAGCAGAGTTTTCTCAGCAGGATGTCTATGTAATGTAAGGTATAATTTCTCTTATAGAGCATGTGCATTTTGGGTAAATAAAGTACTCCGCATCTCCCCGGGCCAAAACCCTGCACTTGCCCCAATGAAAATGATTAATTGATTGTTTCCAAGACCTGAAACAGATGCTCCACTGTTGCTAGTATTTGTATACTTCACTTTATGGCGACTCAAATATGAATTCTGCGACTCAATATGTGCCGTGTCCTCAAAAACCCATAGCATTATATACACTTGTGCTCATAAGTTTACATACCCTTAATAAATGGCTTCAGCCAAACACTACCCATGAGTGACAGAAAGGTTTTCGTGTTATCATTCATATTCTCTGAAAAATGGCCAGGAAATCCTAAATTCTGCCAGGTTATGTAAACTTATGAGCACAAGTATACTTTACCATTCTCCTTGCAGCTAAAATAATTAGTTGATGTGCATACAATCAAATTCTCTTCCGTCTCATTCTCCTAAATCACATTTTATGCAAAAGAAAGAGACGAGACAGTGATGTAGTCCTGCAATATTGCACATTTCCTCAGTGCTTCTCTAATGTCCTTTTATGAAAGGATTAAAATAGGACATTGAATTATTCCTGAGTTCAATTAACAGGCTTCCAAAAAATCTACAGGCCAAATGTTCCTATTCGAATACAGAATTTCATAACAAGGATTCCTAATAGGTCATTCAGAGCTATCATTGTTTCCACCTTCAAGTGCTGATGTGTCATACACTACTGACTACAAGTCAATTCCTGGAACATATCTATTTGTAAAATATGTCAATGCCACTGTCTAGTATAAAGGTACCTATAGACCAAGATGATTGTCTTATCTGGCTGATATCAGACAAGTGTGTGGAAATTAAAAAAAAACCTACTTGTCCAAGGACTAAAGCGGGGGCCTGATCTACTTGTCCCTCATGACAATCTACTTGTCCCGATACAAAAATAAAAAAAAATAACTTTGACCAAAACCGTATTTAGCAGTGCTAAGAAGAGCTTCACATTGGTCAGCGCCGTCATTCACTGCTCCATGCCCTCCGCTCTCACCGATCCATGCCCTCCGCTCTCACCGATCCACGCCCTCCGATCTCACCGCTCAGTTCCCCCCCAAAAAATCGGCCCTGCTACTTGCCCGGCGCCCGGATCTACATGTCCTGGGCGTCGGGCGATACGAATTCCACACCCCTGTCAGACTAAGGAACAATTGCTTGTTTAAGGTCCACCCCAGACCTATACAGACCCATTTGGGAAAATCCATAGTAGACTATAGATGATCCATAGATGACCTAAGTAATCGCTGTTGTTTCCTAAAGTGAGGCCAGTGTAAGGATTGTCTACAGAAGATGTAACCATGCTTGTGCATGCATGCAAGTGAGGAGAGGTGGAATAGATCCACGAATTCCCCAACAATAACTCAATCTGAGGATGCAGTCATTGTTTGGCTGATAATTTTCCACCTGGATCAGTAAATGTTTAAATCAAGTTTTGTCCCACTGATAGGTCCACCCGTGGCTTGTCCTTCAAACCTTTAGTAAAAGGTAAATCTACCTAAATTTGGTATTTCCATTGTACCTGGTGTGGGTTCAGTCTTCTGCTGGTTTCTTACATTAGTTGGGGACTCCAGTTGGGAGATCTGCCAAAACTCATAGCTCTGTTTCTCATTTGGGGGAAGTGTCTCTGTTTTGAAACCAAATCCTCTGTCCCTCTTTCCTCCTCAGGTTGTCCCTTTGATGCATAGATATTTACATAGATGCCAATATTGTTATGCTACAATAAACGTTTCATAAAACACGAAAGTCAATGTGTCCTTTGCATACATACTTTGTACTAGAAGATGTCCCCCATGCTCATCTCATAAAATTGGGAGATATGCAAAACCCCTGTTCTTACTACATTGGAATTTTGTTTCTATCTGTTGGTTCCTAACTCTCCAGATTGCATAAAGTGACCGAAATCCAGCCAGACCTGCTTGAATTGACTATTGCAGGTATGTAGACCTGGCAATGTAGCACAGCAATTTTCACCACTAGAGTTCATGCAAGAGATGAAAAGAAAATAATTGGTATCTCATAGATGTCGTCAGGTTTCTGCAAATCTGGCTGTTATCAACCAATTTGGGAGACAGTCTGGGCATTAGTGGACGCCCCCAGCGAAGGCTTGTCCGGTGGTAAGGAATTTTCAGAAAGAAAAAACCTTGTCTGATCAGTGACAGATCACTCTTGATTAACCAGCGCTGAAGTCTTCCAAGTGCCTCTGCTGCCCCTCTCCATAGGCAAAATGCAAAGGTTTTTATTTGGGACTTGGCATATAGATAGTGCCTACAGGTCCGATCACCCACTAAGGTCTATAGCCAACAAAAAACCTGTACCAATAGATGTCAGCTTAAGGTGAACTAACTATTTAACTAAGCTTGTTTATGTTTTCAAAAAATTATACATTCCATGATCATTTTTGTTGTTTTGCAGGCACAATGATGCTGAGAATGCTGTAATGTTCTTTGGAAACTCTGATTCTGGGACCTTGTGACACAACGAAACTTAGGATTACTCACTACCACTTCCTTCTTCAACCCAATTGCTGCTTGGCACTTACCGCCTTGTTGGTGGCTTGATTAACTATTGTCAAGTGTCAAGATGTGACAACATCTGAGCTGTAATCTAGATGTCACCTCGGTTTCTTGAATTATTGTCACTATTGTTTACTTTTACTGAAGGAGCGAGCCAATGTAGAGCGACTATTTCACATGATGGTATTGCATTTGGAATTTTATAATGCCCATCACTCAGGAGAATGCATTGCTTCACCTGTCTCTTCTTCACCAGTGGCTGCAGGACAACCCATGGGAGGACACTGGGGAACCCGAAGCAGCTTTGTATCTATCTGCCATTCAGAAACTCAAGGAATACATTCAGTTAAATTTAATTTTGGAAGAAATGGCACCGAGCTGCCACGAGGTTGCACTAGACATGGAAATATGCACAGTCTACCTCACCAGGGATGGAGATGATGACCTGGTTCTCGGTCTAAATTTTGGAAATATCCCCATTTTTGGGCACTGTGGAGAAAAACGTCGCGGGGGTAAAAAGAGGAAGGTATACAATGGGCCAGTGCTTGACGTTGGATGTATATGGATTACAGATTTGAAGAAGCAGAGTCCAGCTGCTAGGTGCGGCAAGATAAAACTGCGAGATGAGGTGCTGTCATTGAATGGACAACTGATGGTTGGCGTAGATGTTTCTGGTGCCAGGTAAAGCTCTTCCATTGGATATACTGCAAACTGTATGAAATATTTATTGTGGGCAGATGTACAAATCTTATGTCCTTAACACCACTGAGACCTGATGTGGCTTTTTCTTTCTTATGACTTGACTTGGTGGATCCACAAGTGTGGTTCCTTGATTTTTGTTTTGCACTGTTATAGGAAGACCTTGGAAAGTGATGATATGGTAAAGATTTTCAAAAGTGCTCGTTTTTCCCTGTATGGCCCCCGTTGTCACAACCAATGCTTAGATTGGCTGTGTTGCTTGCAAACATTGAGGCGTCAATGGTGACTGTGGGGATGGCCACATGGCACTTATTTTTGCAATTTAGTGCACAGATTGTGGAACAAGTATTGATGAGTGATTTTGATGCAAAAAATGTTGTATTGGTGATTTTAATAATAAAAAAGCCCCATGTTTGTATGTAGCTAGGTAAAGACTACCTGTAGTGTAGTTGTTATACTGTGAAGGAGCAGGGTGGGGATAGTAGATACTCTGCTTGCTTCTTTCTAAGATGTGTTTAGTGTATTTTCAAAAAGACGGGCTTGAAGGAGAACTATGAGGTGAGTGATTTAGACTCATCCTCATAGTTAGAGCCGACCTGTGACAAAGAATCTGTCACAGGTCTGCTCTATTGATCGGAAGTGAGCGAACACAAACCGTTGCTCGCTCACTTTCCGATCATCTCCCTGCAGAGAGTGGTGACTGTCAGTGTACTTTTAACTACTGGACATTTTAAAGTTAGTGGGTCTTCAACACTGGTTTACTGGGTCACCCTAGGAGGGCCACGACCACCCCGGCCCAGACGGAGAATGGCTCCCCATGTACCTGCTCGAAGCTCAACACTGATCTTGTGTTGCATTGGATTATTGGGCATTTGCCACACAGCTCTGGTCTGGCCTCCGGCCTGCAGGGAGAGAGTGGAAACCACTGCGCTAACTGAATAATAATGTGCAGACAATAGAGGGTCTATTCCTCCACATTGCAGGGCAATAAAAAGCCCCATAATCTGCTATCCTGGGAAATAAATGGGTTACTGGCAATTCGGTGAACATTATGTCAAGGTCTTAAAAAAGTAATGTGCGTTCATTAAAGATAGATTGCTGCCTATATTCTGTGATTTAATATCCCATAATGTGCTTTAGATATGGGCGCTCTGTTCTCTCTGCATGCATCACACAAAGTCAGGGCTTAAAGCTGAATTCCAGTTTGATGTATAAAAAAAATTCATGGCGTTATGTATACAATAAAAAATGATGAAATGTATTTTTACGCGCAGCTAGTGTAAATACTTAAATTGGAACAAAGTTTGGATTTCTTTTTTTTTTATTTGCTGCCGTACACCTGTGAAAACAAAAAAAAAGGCAGTTTTTGCTGCAAGACTCGACTATGATCAAACAATTGTTTGGTCATATGACAAGAAACTTCAATAAATGAAGCTTTTGCTATCTTAAAAGGACTGGTGTGCTGGTGACATTTCTACAATTTTGCTGACATTCGCGGCGCCATCCGCGGTCACTGCGAGCACCCCCCATTACAAGGGACATATCGGTAAGGAGTGCGACAAGGAGAGTACCCAGCGTGGTCCCTGACACGTCCAGAGGGCTGCACAATATTTTGGTTTTCATAAATGGTGTTGCGTTAATGAGCAATAAAACCATATGTCTTACTGTGCGATACCACCATGTGTGGTAACCATTGCACTGCTATGTGTGTGTTGTGGTGCCATTTGTTTTGAATGATACCGCAATTCACTGTTACAGTAGTGGGTGATGCAGCTGCACTCCAATGGATATGCGCTGTGATGTGCTGCTTAAGAGCTCATGCATGCGGCTGTATGAAAATATGGCAACTAGTACGCAGGATCTTGCTCTGTACAGTGTATGCATGTAATGTTTATGCAATGTTTAGCTCCATACAGCGTATAGCGCAAAGTATCCTAGCAACAAAGGACCCTAGGTGGCTCGAGACACCACCTTCCTAGCAACAAAGTACACTAGGTGGCTTGAGACACCACCTTCCTAGCAACAAAGGACCCTAGGTGGCTCGAGACACCACCATCCTAGCAACAAAGGACCCTAGGTGGCTCGAGACACCACTTTCCTGAAAACAAGGGACCCTAGGTAGCTGGAGACACCACCTCCCTAGCAACAAAGGACCCTATGTGGCTTGAGACATCACCTTTCTAACAACAAAGGACCCTAGGTGGCTCGAGACACCACTTCCCTGAAAACAAAGGACCCTAGCTGGCTCGAGACACCTCCTTCCTAGCAACAAAGAACCCTAGGTGGTCCATACAAACGCCTTGCAGATATTGTCCTTGGTGTGAATTGAATCTTCGTCCCCAAGCACTGCAAGGTGCTAACATCTTTTGCAGACCAAAGTTTGTAAATGTGCAGTTAGCAGGTTCCTGGGTTCAGAACAGCAGCATAGCAGAAAGTGGCCTCTGGGGAGCGGTAATTGTGATTTTGGTTCTGGGAAAGTGTTAAAATGTAAGTCATACATGCAGAAAGTGTGGAAAGCAGGTTGGGGATGTAGAAATTGGCTGTTGCTGCCATCTAGTGGTAAAGCTGTAAAGTGTTATTGGTCTGAGTATATGGAAAGATCTGATATCACTGGGGTAGACTCGGCCCTGGGAATCTCTGTAAACAATGCAAGGACTATTCCTGGCTAAACTCTGCTACACTTTAGAGTATATAGTACACTGTATTGATTATGATTGCTCTTTAACCAGAGTTCACTGGATGCTTGTGTTTACATTGTTCTTTCACTGACCCTGGGGCTATGTGGACCCTGATGAGAAGACGGGGTTATTAGGGAGATGGGGCTGCAGGATCAACACCAACAGAGTGGGAACATTTTAGTGGGGCTCTACTGAATGCTACTGGGCTGTTTTCTGCAATGCTTCTCAGTATAACCTCTTCATTAAACCATGCACAGCCCCACATGCTTCGCTGAACACTTTTCACCTTCTCTGAACGCATCCTTCACCTGGTCTTCTCTAAAGTTTATTGTTATGTATCTCAGTACTACTCTTTGACTACAAACTTCTAGCTTCAATATTTAACTTATTTCCCCCAAACCATGCTGGCTTCCAGAGATCTTTGGAATATAAACCATAGGCCCTTCTCGGGGAGCCTTGCTTCCCTCTCCTCCACCCTCTCTATCAAACCTTTTTCAGGCTCAAGATGGCCTTGCACTAGTAGATTTCTGAACAAAAGATCTTTCTTTACCACCCGATAATGCCATCAGAGACCTGACGAATGTCAAACTAAATTTTGTTTATTTTTAATATTCGATTTTGGATTTAATGGAGTTTTCCAAACGAAAACCACATTTACTGTTAGAATTTCGTTTGAGAAAAATTTTCCATTCTGCTCCTTCGAATTTTATCATCACTATAGTCAAAATCGATGATCGATTTGACCCCATCAAATAACAGAAAGTTGAATGAAAGATAATTCGTACGAAAGGTCTTTCGAAAATCTACTAGTGTATGGCCACCTTTAGTTGGTTCCCAGTATGACGGTCTTCAGCTCTGAACCTTCACCAAGTTCCCCTCTTTTTCAACAGACTTACCTCCATAGATGTTCCTCTGGTCACACTTGGTCCGGGAAAAAAGCCACATTTGTAGCTTGAAGGAAAGTGGAGGAAATGTGAGCTTACACAGAGATTTCTTTACATTTTAAATCCAAGCTGCATCATTTTAATTCCGCTCTAATCATAGCCAAGCTAAAATATGTTTCCACACCCTTATCTCCTCAAGCCTCTGACCCATGCTGCATGTAACTCTTTGCTTTGTCCAGGGTTGGACAAATCTCAGGAGGCTGGTAGCCAATGCTCCTTAGAAATTGCATCTGACTCCTAACTTTCGAGGTTTTCTCTAGTTGTTGTCAACGGCGCTTGCCCCTAAATAATAAAATCCTGCTGGCTCTTGGAATGGACAGAATGGCCCCTGAATTCTGTATTAATTTGTTTACACCTGCCCTAGTTCAACACCCTCTGCCTCTACTTCTGATTTCACTGTCCAGAACTTGGCTTTCCACTGGTGGTTCTGCGTCTACCTTCTAACCCACAGTCACACATCTTTTACTGCAGAATCCTCTGTTTATACTATCCAGCTGTCTCCCATTTCTCTTTTTCGTTACCCTGCTAAATTGCTTGCATGCCTTGTCTAAACCTGACTCTTGTCCTCACATCTAGCTCAGTCTTGCTGTTGTCCTGTACACACTCATCAGTTGAAACCACACTCATCGACCTGGTCAATGACCTCAGATCCAATAAAAAGTTGGCTTTACCCTGCCTTTTCTCTTTCATATCTTCTCTGTTTTTCCCTGCAGGCTACCCTCTGCTTCCCCAAATGCTGCTCTCTTATTCTTCTACTTGCATTTATCCAATGTTTTTTTTTTTTTTAAAAGCGGAACTCCAGCTAAATACACAGATCATGTACACATATGGCAGCTGTTTTACCTGCCAAATGACTTGTACATATGTCCACCAATCCTAACATTTGTGGCTACAGCCCGGCCACACAGCACAGCCCTTTATCACTTCTGACTTCCCTACCCCTGTCTTAAAAATATTTTACTCTACCTCCTCATGGATTTCTAAGAGCTTTAATGCCATCCTAACTGAGCTTCTCCTATATCTCTCACATTCAAGTACTGCTACCTCTACCTAGGCAATCTCCAAAGAATGTCCCTTCCTGGTTCAAGAGACCATTAAACCTCTAGTCACCCTGCTAGCTCTACCTGGGCAATCTCTAAAGAATGGTCCTTCCTTGTTCAAGAGACCATTAAACCTCTGGTTGGCCTGCTACTCTACCTGAGCAATTGCCAAAGAATGTCCCTTCCATGTTCAAGAGACCATTAAACCTCTAGTCACTAAGCTAGCTCTATCTGGGTAATCTCCCAAAGAATGTTCCTTCCTTGTTCAAGAGACCATTAAACCTCTAGTCACCCAGCGAGCTCTACCTGGGCAATCTCCA